ACTTTTTCTACTTTTTATGCACCATTATTTGTAACAGTTCATTATCAAGTACAATAATCCAATAAGTGTTGGATTATCCAATTAGGTACGGTGAACCTCAATTCTTCTGCTTTCTCACGTTCGTTCCAGTAGCCAAGAGAATTGGCAGTCTTTTCAATCCATATTGCGGAAATTCAGTGTTACAGCATGATTGACATTCAAAGACAATGTTTCCGTGTTTGCAGAGACTGGATTCACGGTAAACGCTGCATCTGTCGGCTCAACCGGAAATTACCTTTACATTTTTATCACGTAATGTGTAATGCTTCAGCAATACAGATTGAATAGAGCCCTTGGAAGTCTGTTGTGTTACAGCCTGAATTTAAAATGGATTAAATTGATATTTTGTGTCACTGGCCTACACACAATACCCCATAATGTCAAAGTGGAATTATGTTTTTAGAAATGTTTACAAATTAATTATAAATGTAAAGCTGAAATGTTTTGAGTCACTAAATAAGTTCAGGAGTAAGTCACATAACAAGTTGCATGGACTCACTCTGTGTGCAATAATAGTGTTTAACACTATGTGGTCCTCTGTACCTCAATTGGTAGAGCATGGCGCTTGTAACGCCAGGGTAGTGGGTTCGATCTCCGGGACCACCCATGCATAAAAATGTATGCACACATGACTGTAAGTCGCTTTGGATAAAAGCGTCTGCTAAATGGCATATTAACACAGGGGTCTCCAATATTTTCTAGCATGAGAGCTACTTTTAAAAAATGAAACATGTCCGAGCCACTAATTATTTTCTAGCTTTCAAATAGGCACATTCTTCTCCTTTCCTCTACCCTGCAACTCTTCCCCAAGTCCTTAGTCTACAAGAGAAAGTAGTGCACTATGTTCTCTGTCAATATACCTGGTAAAATCAACAAACAGATTCATATTTTTAGGTGTAATTCCCCTTTAATTGTGTATCTGGCCCTTTAATTGTGAATCTAGAAAGTGAGAAATGTGCTGTCTAATGTGCAGGTCTAGTGATGGTTCTGTAATGCTGCTGCTCATTTCATGGCAAAGTTAGCAAATACAAAGTAATAGATACAAATTATATACTTCTTCATGATATACTTCTGCCAAGTAAGCCTACTTTGCAGTTAACATTTAATTGAGAAGGTTTTGGGGAAAGTACTGTCTGTCAACCCACAAGATGGTTATCACAACAGCTGGCTACACACAGAAATGAGTGAAAGACAAACATGCGCACCACACAGACAGACAGGGGCAATATTGCTGGAAATTAATTGGCAGATATTGTGTTAGGTTTGGGTTTTTAAGCCAATAGTGGCTAATCAGGGGTGGAATAATGTCAGTGTTGCGTTGATTAGATAGTAGCTGGGAGCTTGCAGTGTCTAATACTTGTGAGATTTGTTAATGACAATTTGTGGTGGAACATGTGAAAATTGCATGTACTTTCAGAATTGTTTGGGGATCTACTCATAGCTGGGCTATGAGCTACTGGTAGCGTGCGATCGACCTCTTGGTGACCCTGGTTTAACATGATCTTTGAATGACTACCTCATCTTTTTACCACACATACAATTATCTGTAAGGTCCCTCAGTCGAGCAGTGAATTTCAAACACAGATTCAACCACAAAGACCAGGGAGGTTTTCTAATGCCTTGCAAAGAAGGGCACCTATTGGTAGATAGTTAAAAAATATAAAAAGGCAGACATTGAATATCCCTTTGAGCATGGTGAAGTTATTAATTACACTTTGGATGGTGTATCAATACACCCAGTCACTACAAAGATACAGGCGTCCTTCCTAACTCAGTTGCCGGAGTAGAAGGAAACCGCTCAGGGATTTCACAATATTATTATTATTATTATTATTATTATTATTATTACTTTAAAACAGTTACAGAGTTTAATGGCTGTAATAGGAGAAAAATGAGGCTGGATCAACAACATTGTAGTTATTCCACAATACTAACCTAAATGACAGCGTGAAAAGAAGGAAGCCTGTACAGAATACAAATATTCCAAAACATGCATCCTGTTTGCAATAAAGCAATAAAGTAAAACAGTAGAAATGTGGCAAAGAAATTAACTTTATGTCCTAAAAACAAGGCGTTATGTTTTGGCCAAATCCAACACAACACATCATTGAGTACCACTCTTCATATTTTCAAGCATGGTGGTGGCTGTATCATGTTATGGGTTTCCTTCTTATCGGCAAGGACTAGGGAGTTTTGTAGGATAAAAAGGAAAATAATAGAGCTAAGCAAAATTCTAGAGGAAAACCTGTTTCAGTCTGCTTTCCAACAGATACTGGGAGACAAATTCACCTTTCAGCAGGACAATAACACAAGGCAAAATATACACTGGAGTTGCTTTCCAAGACGACGTTGAATGTTCCTGAGTGGCCTAGTTGCAGTTTTGACTTAAATCGGCTTAAAAATACATGACATGACTTGAAAATGGCTGTCTAGCAATGATCAACAACCAACTTGACAGAACTTGAAGAATTTAAAAAGAATAATATGCAAATATAGTACAATCCAGGTGTGCATAGCTCTTAGAGACTTACATAGAAAGACTCACAGCTGTAATCGTGGCCAAAGGTGCTTCTAAAAAGTATTGACTCAGGGTTGTGAATACTTATGTAAATGAGACATTTCTAAAAACATATTTTCACTTTGTCATTATGGGGTATTGTGTGTAGATGGGTGGGAAAAAATATGGAATCAATTTTGAATTCAGGCTGTAACACAACAAAATATTGCATAAGTCGTGTGGTCAGGTTACACAAAGAGGGACATAGGAAAATTGCAATTGGCTCAGAACAGGGCAGCACGGCTGGTCCTTGGATGTACACAGAGAGATAACATTAGCATGTCAATCTCTCCAGGCTGTCAGAGCGGGCGTAGGTGTGGTGTAGGAATCAGATGCAGGACACAGATGCTAGTCCAAAAATACTTTAGTAAAGTCCACAGAATGAACGGCTACAAACAGAGCCGGAGGCACGAGAAGAATAACGCACACAGCGTATAAAAGCAAAACACGCACAACAAGTGCGGACTCTCTATCTAACACAGAATAGAGCACAAACTGACTGGAAACACCTGCTGACAAGGAACAACTACACACAACCACAAGACAGAAACAACGAGAACTTAAAGGACACATAATCAAGACAAAATGAGAAACAGGTGTACCAAAACAGACCAAACCAAACAAACACAGAAACCACGAACGGTGGCAGCTAGTACTCCGGGGACGACGACCGCCGAAGCCTGCCCGAACAAGGAGAAGGAGCAGCCTCGGCAGAAACCGTGACACTGGCTCAAACTGGAGGAGAGATTGACTTCATCACTACTTGTATTTGTGAGAGGTATTGACATGTTGAATGCACCGAGCTGTCTGTTTGAACTACTGGCACACAGCTTGGACACCCATGCATACCCCACAAGTCATGCCAGCAGAGGTCTCTTCACAGTCCCCAAGTCAAGAACAGACTATGGGAGGCGCACAGTACTACATAGAGCCATGACTACATGGAACTCTATTCCACATCAAGTAACTCATGCCAGCAGTAAAATTAGATTTAAAAAACAGATAAAAATACACCTTATGGAACAGCGGGGACTGTGAAGCAACACAAACATAGACACATGTATACAAACACACGATAACATACGCACTATACACACGTAAACATGGATTTTGTGTTATAGATATGTGGTAGTAGAGTAGAGGCCTGAGGGCACACACTTAAGATGTTGTGAAATATGTTATGAATGTGTTGTAATGTTTTTAAAATGTATAACTGCCTTAATTTTGCTGGACCCCAGGAAGAGTGGGGATCCATAATAAATACAAATACAAATAACAAAGGGGTTGAATACTTATTGACTCAAAACGTTTCAGCTTTACATTTTCTATTAATTTGAAAACATTCTCTAAAAACGTAATTCCTGTTTGACATTATGGGGTATTGTGTGTAGGCCAGTGACACAAAATCTCAATTTCATCCATATTACATTCAGGCTGTAACACAACAAAATGTGGAAAAAGTCAAGGGGTGTGAATACTTTCTAAAGACACATTCCATGATAAGAAGTGTAGAGGTATGGCCATTATTAAACTTACATAAATCGTCAAATATCATAATCACCATAGAGTAGGATAATGCTTGGCCAATGTATACAGTGCCTTGCCAAAGTATTCAGACCCCTTGGATTTCTTCACATTTTATTGTGTTACAAAGTGGGATTAAAATGTATTTAATTGTCATTTTTTTGTCAACAATCTACACAAAATACTCTGTAATGTCAAAGTGGAAGAAAAATTATAACTTTTTTAATACTTTAATAATTATATAACTCAAATATAGTCATTGCATAAGCATTCAGCACCGAGTCAATACATCCATTACAGCTGTGAGTCTTATTGGGTAAGCCTATAAGAGCTTTGGACACTGTCTGCTTGATAAGCAACTCCAGTGTAGATTTGGCCTTGTGTTGTAGGTTATTGTCCTGCTGAAAGGTGAATCCCTCTCCCAGTCTCTGGTGTAAAGAAGACTGAAGCAGGTTTTTCTTTAGAATTTTGCCTGTGCTTAGCTCCATCCCATTTCTTTTTATCCTAAAAAACTCCCCAATATTTGCTGATGTCAAGCATACCCATACCAGGATGCAGCCACCACCATGCTTGAAAATAAGGAGGCAGTTACTCAGTGATGTGTTGTGTTGGATTTGCCTCAAACATAAGGCCAAAAATTGTATTCCTTTGCTGTGTGTTTTGGTCTGAATACTTTTGCAAGGGCTCAAGAGTTGTCAGTGAGGTATCCGTGAGTTGTCCGTGAGGTAAGCTACTGTATCACAAAGCTGCTTAACAAAATGTAAAAACTCATACTAACATTATGTCTGGGTGTATCTTCGTTTCTTACAGGATTGGACTGGAAATAATTTACATCCATCATCTTTATTCTGAGCTGAGGTCCATCCAGATTTGTGAATGAATGAGTGGGTGGGCCCCGACGTCAATGTGGTGGGACCACTACAGATCCCACACAGCGATGGATTCCAATTGTCCGAGAGCTCACACTTCTTTGGTAAGCAATCTCCAGTGACTAGCCTGGACCCAGATCTGTACTGTATAGTGCCTTGCAAAAGTATTCATCCCCCTTGGTGTTTTTCCTATTTTGTTGCATTACAATCTGTAATTTAAATAGATTTTTATTTGGATTTCATGTAATGGACATACACAAAATAGTCCAAATTAGTGAAGTGAAATGAAAAAAATAACTTGTTTAAAAAAATTTGAAAGAATAAATAACGGAAAAGTTGTGCGTGCATATGTATTCACCCCCTTTGCTATGAAGCCCCTAAATAAGATCTGGTGCAACCAATTACCTTCAGAAGTCACATAATTAGTTAAATAAAGTCCACCTGTGTGCAATCTAAGTGTCATATTATCTGTCACATGATCTCAGTATATATACACCTGTTCTGAAAGGCCCCAGCATCTGCAACGCCACTAAGCAAGGGGCACCACCAAGCAAGTGGCACCTTGAAGACCAAGGAGCTCTCCAAACAGGTCAGGGACAAAGTTTGGAGAAGTACAGATCAGGGTTGGGTTATAAAAAAATATCTGAAACTTTGAACATCCCACGGAGCACCATTTAAATCCATTATTAAAAAATTGAAAGAATATGGCACCACAACAAACCTGCCAAGAGACGGCCGCCCACCAAAACTCACGGACCAGGCAAGGAGGGCATTAATCAGAAAGGCAACAAAGAGCCCAAAGATAACCCTGAAGGAGCTGCAAAGCTCCACATCGGAGATTGGAGTATCTGTCCATAGGACCACTTTAAGCCTAGCACTCCACAGAGCTGGGCTTTACAGAAGAGTGGCCAGAAAAAAGCCATTGTTTAAAGAAAGAAATAAGCAAACACGTTTGGTGTTTGCCAAAAGCCATGTGGGAGACTCCCCAAACATATGGAAGAGGGAGACTCCCCAAACATATGGAAGAAGGTACTCTGGTCAGATTAGACTAAAATTGAGCTTTTTGGCCATCAAGGAAACCTCTATGTCTGGCGCAAACCCAACACCTCTCATCACCTCGAGAACACCATCCCCACAGTGAAGCATGGTGGTGGCAGCATCATGCTGTGGGGATGTTTTTCATTGGCAGGGACTGGGAAACTGGTCAGAATTGAAGGAATGATGGATGGCACTAAATACAGGGAAATTCTTGAGGGAAACCTGTTTCAGTCTTCCAGAGATTTGAGACTGGGACGGAGGTTCACCTTCCAGCAGGACAATGACCCTAAGCATAGTGCTAAAGCAACACTTGAGTGGTTTAAGGGGAAACATTTAAATGTCTTTCAAAGCCCAGACTTCAATCTAATTGAGAATCTGTGGTATGACTTAAAGATTGCTGTACACCAGCGGAACCCATCCAACTTGAAGGAAGTGGAGCAGTTTATGTTTATGGGGGGGGGAATAGTTATGCACGCTCAAGTTTTCAGTTCTTTTGTCTTATTTCTTGTTTGTTTCACAAGAAAAAATATTTTGCATCTTCAAAGTGGTAGCCATGTTGTGTAAATCAAATGATACAAACCCCCATAAAATCCATTTTAATTCCAGGTTGTAAGGCAACAACATAGGAAAAATGCCAAGGGGGGTGAATACTTTTGCAAGCCGCTGTATGTGCTTCATCTAACAGCTCCGACAATTTTAGTCATGCGTAATATCGTGGTCAAAAGTTTTGAGAATGACACAAGTATTTGTCTTCACAAAGTTTGCTGCTTCAGTGTTTTTAGATATTTTTGTCAGATGTTACTATGGTATACTGAAGTATAATTACAAGCATTCCATAAGTGTCAAAGGCTTTTTATTGACAATTACATTAAGTTTATGCAAAGAGACAATATTTGCAGTGTTGACCCTTCTTTTTCAAGACCTCTGCAATCCGCCCTGGCATGCTGTCAATTCAATTCTGGGCCACATCATGACTGATGGCAGCCCATTCTTGCATAATCAATGCTTGGAGTTTGTCAGAATTTGTGGGTTTTTGTTTGTCCACCCACCTCTTGAGAATTGACCACAAGTTCTCAATGGGATTAAGATCTGGGGAGTTTCCTGGCCATGGACCCAAAATTTCGATGTTTTGTTCCTCGAGCCACTTAGTTATCAGTTTTGCCTTTTAGCAAGGTGCTCCATCATGCTGGAAAAGGCATTGTTCGTCACCAAACTGTTCTTGGATGGTTGGGAGAAGTTGCTCTCGGAGGATGTGTTGGTACCATTCTTTATTCATGACTGTGTTCTTAGGCACAATTGTGAGTGAGCCCACTCCCTTGGCTCAGAAGCAACCCCACACATGAATGGTCTGAGGATGCTTTACTGTTGGCATGACACAGGACTGATGGTAGCGCTCACCTTGTCTTCTCCAGACAAGCTTTTTTCCGGATGCCCCAAACAATCGGAAAGGGGATTCATCAGAGAAAATGACTTTACCCCAGTCCTCAGCAGTCCAATCCCTGTACCTTTTGCAGAATATCAGTCTGTCCCTGATGTTTTTCCTGGAGAGAAGTGGCTTCCTCGCTGCCCTTCTTGACACCAGGCCATCCTCCAAAAGTCTTTGCCTCACTGTGCGTGCAGATGCACTCACACCTGCCTGCTGCCATTCCTGAGCAAGCTCTGCACTGGTGGTGCCCCGATCCCGCAGCTGAATCAACTTTAGGAGACGGTCCTGGCGCTTGCTGGACTTTCTTGGGCGCCCTGAAGCCTTCTTCACAACAATTGAACCTCTCTCCTTGAAGTTCTTGATGATCCGATAAAATTGTTGATTTAGGTGGAATCTTACTAGCAGCAATATCCTTGCCTGTGAAGCCCTTTTTGTGCAAAGCAATGATGACGGCACGTGTTTCCTGCAGGTAACCATAACAGATGAAAAACAATGATTTCAAGCACCACCCTGCTTTTAAAGCTTCCAGTCTGTTATTCTAACTCAATCAGCATGACAGCGTGATCTCCAGCCTTGTTCTCGTCAACACTCTCACCTGTGTTAACGAGAGAATCACTGACATGATGTCAACTGGTCCTTTTGTGGCAGGGCTGAAATGCAGTGGAAATGTTTTTGGGGGATTAAGTTCATTTTCATGGCAAAGAGGGACTTTGCAATTAATTGCAATTAACCTGATCACTCTTCATAACATTCTGGAGTATATGCAAATTGCCATCATAAAAACTGAGGCAGCAGACTTTGTGAAAATTAATATTTGTGTCATTCTCAAAACTTTTGACCACGACTGTACTATATTACAGTATATACAGTAAATGCATATGCAGTGGCGATTTTAGCAGGTCAATCTTGGTGGGGCAAACTCTTTATTTTTTATGCATGCCAGCAAAGCCACTACACCACACTAAACAATACATTAATTGCGCTATAACGGTGACATAAAGCTGTCTCAACAGCAGAGCTTTCTTTGCAGCACCATGGAGTGAATCCTTACCACCGCTGCACCTGGCTATCAGCGGAGCCTTGTCTGGCAGTGAAACAGTTCATTCAGACTCATTTACTGCCTTTAAAAAAAAACATAGCTGATATGGTTGACTTGCTTAAACAAATATGGTTTCTACTGACAATTTAGATGTACAAACTATGGCATAAGGGGATGATGAGCGGATAAGAGGCAATCTGTAATTCGATAAAGACATTAAAAAGCGAGCTAAGACGGACGTAGTCAATATAATTTTGTTCAGCACTTTTGAAATGTACAGCGACAGAATTTAGAACATGGGCCATTCTTACAGTATTCTCCCTTTACACTAAGTCAGAACCGTAGGATAAATAAAGGGGGCATATAAGCAGACAATTAAAGTTTTTACAGTATTCTACGATGACGTTTCTCTAAAACAGGCTATAGGCTACATGTGCACCACCAAGTCAGAACATGAGGGGGAAAGGTACCATATTATTAGAGTGAGGCACATGGGCTACTAACAGCTTACTACACAACATACACTTAGTATTACTTTCTTAGTTACAGTATACATATCTCCCTGGCGTATTACATAATTTATGCAGCAGCATACAATACGTTTTTGGACTCTTGGACCTTGTTGTGATGAGCTCACTTGAACAGGAAGGTGGCGCGGCCGTCCTTCTTTTGTCATCAAAGTCTGGCATTCTCTGGATTTATGATGCTTTCAAGACAACTGTGAACTTGGAAAAAAACAAGGTTGAATCATGACGTTAGTGATCTTCAGGTCGGAGCTCTAGAAAGAGGCCCGCGTTACCGACTTGGAATTCTGAGTTGGATGACTATTCAATAAGTATTTTCCCAGTCGGAGCTAGTTTTTTTCCGAGTTCCCAGTTGGCTTGAACTCTGAAGTCTGAGATTTCCCAGTTCCGAGTTTCCAGTTGGCTGGCCCATGGTGTTGCATGTGAATGTTTATCCTTTAAGTTTGGAAAATATACTTTTAAACCCAGACTTGGACCACACACCCTTTCCACTGAATAGCAGGCTAATGATTGCTTTGCAACGCTTGCAGTTAGCCACTGATTTCTTCCAAACCACTCATTGTTGAATTTGCGATTTCCAACTTGTTGTGTAATGTTTATGTCCAATGGCCGATGAGCACCGATACGCTCTGCCCCACCTGCCCTGAATGACGGGTTGCCACTGTGCATATGGCATGCCTATGATAGTTAGGAGAGTTGGCACATGCAGATCTGGGATCAGGCAATCCAGTGGCCAGCTCTGACACATATTACACCTCAGGCAGTAGCAGCCAGTCACACAAGCCAGATGTCAAAGTGACTTTACACATTACCGAACCAACTACCTGTAATGATGGGCAGAAATGTCTGTCAGGTTAATAAGTAGCCATGACAACCTTTGCTCCCCTTTGGCACTACTGAGTCAGTCCTCAAGCAAGCACCAAGGTGTTCTGTTCTAGGACTTCTGTAGCGGAATTTTTATGGAGAAGTTCCTTTACCGAAGATAATAGAGGGAGGTATGCTGAGGTAGAATAAATAAAGGTAAGAGTAGAGCCGCAGAAGGGGATTACTTTTCAGGTGGTCAGGGAGAGAGAGGGGAGGTTTTTATCATGGGTGTGCTGGGTCACCCTGAGATGGCCATGGTCTAGAACAAATCTTCAGGTCAGTATCTCATGCCTGACGATCTTGTTGCGTCAGCTTGGGTTATGTGTGTTATCAGATGAGTTTAGATTAACTCAACCCTATAGAACTATACGGCTTAATTCCAGCAGCTTTTTTGTTGTCCAGGATTTACTTTTACCTTAATGTATTTTAATGAATAGAATTGATATGACATGGTTCCAATGCTAGCTGACGTCTAACTTTCAAGGGTTCATGCTGACATAATAGAAATATAATTATTATAATTTATGACATAGTAGGTACACCTGATGATAAAGCATTGTGAAATATAAATATATGTAAAATATAAGTATAGATAAGTACTATATATCTTTGAAGAATAGTTGGAAAACTCAAGCTGTCCCGTCATTCTGCTATGACAGTGTGTTTTGTGAGAGTGTGAGTGGCTGAGTTTATGTAGGTTACTATCCCCTGTTATGTTAATGTTTAAATACTCAGATTAAGTCACTATCTAATACTACTGTAACAGCTGGGAAGTGAATTTGACAGTCGTACTTCACTATCCTTGGGAAAATACAGGAGTTATTGGCTTGTGAAATGTGTAGCTATTGTGGATTTTCTGAACCATGCTGAAATCAAGCTGGCTTTTTAGTTGGCTAAAGAAACAACACATGATTCAAAAAATGAGGTGATTGCACACTTCTTTTCAGTGATAGTATAATTTAATCTATGCATCTTTCTTTTCTCCACTCAGATATTCTGGCAGAGCAAGGGAGCCCTCTGCTCCAGGATCAAGAGGTCTTAGCCTTCACCAGCTATCCCAGCATGCAATACCCCTCGGTGGAGCCCACCATGTCCTCCCTTCCATACTACTCCAGTCAGAATTACTACCCCCAGTACAGCGGCGAGGAGTGGTACTCACCCATAGAGATGTATGAACTGAGGAAAGGACCCCTGGAGGGTAGCTATGATGCTGAAATGGAAGAGGCATCCGCCATAGTGCCTCCGGTGTGCAAGAGGACCAGGCACACTTCCCACACAGGCAGGGTCAAAGGGGAGGAGCTGTGTGTGGTGTGTGGGGACAAGGCATCCGGGTACCACTATAACGCTCTCACCTGTGAAGGGTGTAAAGGTAAGTGCAGTGGTTAAGTGTGCTACATCTTGATCATAGCTGTAGACATTGAAGTGTTATGGACTACAGATCTTCACCGTCTTCTACAACGTAGATCCAAATAAGAGCCTCTTCCACATTCGACACAAGACACTACTCTATGGATGGGCTCACTTCTTCTAAAAGCCTGTGTTGATCACTTCTGGTTTTGCTCCGTAGCTATTGCTAGAACAGTATTGTAATCTGAATATAGTTGGGAGATTCTATAATGTAATATGATGTCTACAGAGTAGCCCACTGGTATGACAAACATCCAGAAGGTGATCAGTATGATATTTTGTCATGACGAGGATGAATGAAGGAATTGTCTCTGGACTCAATGCCAGGAGTAAGCAGCATGACTTTACAGCACCTCTTCATGTAAAAATTACGAGCTCAGTGACACCCAATGTGACGAATCACAACTAACAACACCTCCCTAACTTTCTTAATCACAGCATTTCTACTCAATTTCTTGCAAAACCTCAGGTGAATGGGTACACGTGTAATTTCACCCTCTTAGGGTGGACAATGGCATGGTTGCAGTCACTGGGCTGTCCTGCCTCGTGTCTGAGTGTAGGTTTGAGGTTAGGTTGTCCCTCGTCGGTTCACCCTCCGGATATCGTTCCCACTCTATAATGGCATAGAGAACCAGAGTTAAGCAATGTTAATGTGTGTCACTGTACTCATCTCCCTACGCTTGAATGTCTAATTACCTGTTACAAAGCTATCGTGTGTGTGCCCACTGTATGGAACCAGTCCAAAAAGGCTCTCAAAAGGCTCTCAAAAGGGCATCTTTCTCGCACTGGTAGTTAGTGTCAAAATAAAATGTTATTGGTCGTGTATACATACATTGCAGATGTTATAGCGAGTGTAGCGAAATCCTGATGTTCCTAGCTACAATTGTGCAGTAATACCTAGCAATACAAAACAATACATGCAAATCCCCCAAAATAAATATAAAATAATTAAGAAATATATAAATATTAGTACGAGCAATGTCAGAGTCCTCAATATAAATATGCATTCGGAAAGTATTCAGACCCCTTCACTTTTTCCACATTTTGTTACGTTACAGCCTTATGCTAAAATGGATACAATTATTTATTTTTTCTCATCAATCTACACACAATACCCCATAATGACAAAGTGAAAACAGGTTTTTAGATTTTTTTTGGCAAATGTATTAAAAATTAAAAACAGAAATACCTTATTTACATAAGTATTCAGACCCTTTGCTATGAGACTCGAAATTGAGCTCAGGTGCATCCTATTTCCATTGATCATCCTTGATATGTTTCTACAACTTGATTGGAGTCCACATGATTTGGAAAAGCACACACCTGTCTATATAAGGTCCCACAATTGACAGTGCATGTCAAAAACCAAGCCATGAGGTCGAAGGAATTGTCCGTATTGCTCCGAAACAGGATTGTGTCGAGGCACAGATCTGGGGAAGGATGGCCAATCAATTGAAATTACCACAGGTGGAAACAAAATGCACCTGAGCTCAATTTCGAGGCTCATAAGACAGAGGGTCTGAATACATATGTAAATCAAGTATTTCCGTTTTTTATGTTTTATAAATTTGCTAAAATTTCTAAAAATCTGTTTTCACTTTGTCATTATGGGGTATTGTGTGTAGATTAATCCATTTTAGAATAAGGCTGTAACACAACAAAATGTGGGGGAAAAAAGGGGTCTGAATACTTTCCGAATGCACTGTACATATGAAGTGGATAAAACAGTATGTAAACATTATTAAAGTGACCACTGTTCAATTATTACAGTACCAGTCAAATGTTTGGACACACCTACTCATTCCAAGGTTTTCCTTTATTTTTTTTAATGTTCTACATTGTAGAATAATAGTAAAGACATCAAAATATGAAATTGAGATGGTTTGGGATGAGTCGGACGGCAGAGTGAAGGAAAAGCAGCCAACAAGTGCTCAGCATATTTCGGAACTCCTTCAAGACTGTTGGAAAAGCATTCCAGGTGGAGCTGGTCGAAAGAATGCCAAGAGTGTGCAAAGCTGTCATCAAGGCAATGGGTGGCTATTTGAAGAATCTCAAATATAAAATATATTTTGATTTGTTTAATACTTTTTTGGTTACTACATGATTCCATGTGTGTTATTTCATAGTTCTGATGTCTTCACTATTATTCTACAATGTAAAAAAAAAAGTAAAAATAAAGAAAAACCTTTGAATGAGTAGGTGTGTCCAACCTTTTGACTGGTGGTGTACGTACCTAGCGGAGCAGTCTCTAAGGTGCAGGGTTGAGTACCGGGTGGTAGCCGGCTAGTAATAGTGACTAAAGTTCAGGGCAGGGTACTGGGCGGAGTCCGGCTAGTGGTGACTATTTAACAGTCTGATGGCCTGGAGATAGAAGCTGTTTTTCAGTCTCTCTGTCCCAGCTTTGATGCACCTGTACTGACCTTGCATTCTGGATGATAGCAGGGTGAACAGGTCGTGGCCGTTGTGAGGGTTAACACGCTTAAATGTCTTACTCACGTCGGCCACAGATAATTAGAGTTCACAGTCCTCGTAAGCGGCGGTGGCCCGTGTCGGCAGCGCTGTGTTTTCCTCGAAGCGGGCGAAGAAGGTGTTTAGTGTGTCTGGGAGCAATGCATCGGTGTCCACGATGTGGCTGGTTTTCCCTTTATAATCCGTGATTGTCTGGAGTCCCTGCCACATACGTCTGGTGTCTGAGCCGTTGAATTGCGACTCCACTCTGTGCTGACGTTTTGCATGTTTGATTGCCTTACGGAGGGCATAGCTGGACTGTACGCTGTGTTACACTGTTAAAAGGGGATAATGTTAATGGTTTGAAGCACCCCTTGGGCATAGGTCAAGACCAAGGGCATAGATCAGCCACAAACCAATGCCATCACTCCATTAGAGGTTTAATTTATGGGAGACGGTGTATCTGTATCGTGTCATAGGGTTTGTAGCGCAAGGCTATCAGGTTTATTCCAATGTTCCTATTGAGCTAATCCGATTCAAGGCACAGTCCACCTCTACAACATACAGATGTAGGATCCTAATTCGACCTATATTGCTACAGGAAAATAATCCTGCAGCAACAGGATTTGAACGTTTAGTCCATAATGTTGCTTGATCGGTGGTTAGGCTATTATAGCTTGCTAAAAGTAGGCTACATGAAAAGTGCAATACTGTTAATAGAACCGTGTGTTAGTGTGGGTTTTCAGTGGATTTATGTAAATCACAAAGCTCATCTCCAAATTCCCAGCAACAAAAGAGTGATCAAAGTAAGATCCTGCATCTGTAGTGGTGTTATTTGCTTTACAGTACGTAATATCACTAGTATTTCATCATATGACCAAAGACTGAGGTCACTGGGTAATTGTGCTGATCACTGCCTTCAGGCTTCTTCAGACGGAGCATCACGAAGAACGCCGTGTACAAGTGCAAGAGTGAAGGGACCTGTGAGATGGACATGTACATGCGCAGGAAGTGCCAGGAGTGTCGTCTCCGGAAGTGCAAGGAGATGGGCATGCTGTCAGAGTGTGAGTATATCAGCACTCACGCCAACAGCTGTTGGCATCTCTCCATTTATCCTCATGGGATACTGTACCCATTATGTCAGACTTAATGGTACAGACTGTGAAGTACTGGTATTATTGATAAGGAAAGGGACTAATAGTCAAGGGAAACCATAAACCATCATTACTGAAAGAAGTTTTACACTGAATTCTACAAGAAAGGTGGTCATGACATATGGAGGATAGTCTTTACTCCAGAATCCATGTAGTTGTAGATCTCCTATTGCATCGCTAAGCATATTGCTATTTCTTATGTGCAACGGAATATCTTGCCAACGTCAGGAAATGAATTTGGTGATAACACCAGCTCTTTGATATACTACTATGTGCATTTATTACTTGAGAGACTACATTGCAGGTTTTATTAACTCATGGTACTTGTTACTTGATGCACATACTATACCATATTACCTGCCCGTACAAAAAATAATATTCAACCCCTTTCTTTTAATTCAACTGAAGCACTGGCACATTTAAGGGGACCTTTAAGAAGAAGTGCCCCTGCTATTTCCCTATAGAGCTTGTAAACAAATTGTATTGCATTTTAACATTCATCTATCCATTTACTTTTAATCAGTTTAGGATCAACATGGTTAAACAGTCACTCACTATCAGTATTTGATTCAGATTGACATGTGTCTAGCTGTGAGTCTGTCCCCCTGACTATCTCTTCAGACTGTATGATAGCATCATAATGTTCTTTCAATGCACTGGGGACATTCTCAGATCATAGCAGAGAATTCTCATTGTGAATTCTAACACGACTATTTTGATTTTCACTGAGGGACAGTGTGTTATACCTCTCACAATAGAAAGGTCTCACCATTGTTGCTCTTCAAGGAAGAGAGAGAGGAGAGAGAGCTAGAGAGAGAGAGAGATATCGAGAGAGAACGAGCTAGATAAGATAGAGAGAGTAGTAGAGAGAGAGGAGCGAGAGCGATAGAAGAGAGACTCTAGAGATATAGAGAGAGAAGTATGAGATCTCTATCTCGCTAGCTCTCGCTCTTATCGAGACTATAGATGAGCGATAGACTCTCTCTGAGCGCGAGAGAGAGATCGATCGATGCAGCGCTATGTCGATCTCCAAGGATGAGAGAGGAGCAGAGAGGAGAGAGAGAGAGAGAGAGAGAACACTTCAACTGGAGGATAAGGTATTTTGGCATAAATAAAAGAAGAATGGTGAAATTAAGGTGTAAAACATTATCAAAAATACATGGTCATGATGAAATCTTTGTGTCCTTCTCTCTAGCTTAATCCTACCACAAATGACACCCAATTAGTGTATTTGGGGTATCAGGAGGACGGAGTTGTTGCCCATAAATGTTGTAAGGAAGTTACAGGTAGCAGGTGTGATGCGTGATTTGAAGGAGTCAGGCGCAGGAGGGTAAAGTATACAGAGTTTATTCTGTAATCCAGCGTAACCAGTCCAGTGCGCAAAAGAGGCGCACTGGAACAAACATGCACAAGGGGAAAATACATTTACATTTACATTTACGTCATTTAGCAGACGCTCTTATTTTTTTTTTGGGGGGGTAAGGGGGGGGTAGAAGGATTACTTTATCCTATCCCAGGTATTCCTTAAAGAGGTGGGGTTTCAAGTGTCTCCGGAAGGTGGTGAGTGACTCCGCTGTCCTGGCGTCATGAGGGAGCTTGTTCCACCATTGGGGTGCCAGAGCAGCGAACAGTTTTGACTGGGCTGAGCGGGAACTGTGCTTCCGCAAAGGTAGGGGGGCCAGCAGGCCAGAGGTGGATGAACGCAATGCCCTCGTTTGGGTGTAGGGACTGATCAGAGCCTGAAGGTACGGAGGTGCCGTTCCCCTCACAGCTCCGTAGGCAAGCACCATGGTCTTGTAGCAGATGCAAGCTTCAACTGGAAGCTAGTGGAGTGTGCGGAGGAGCAGGGTGACGTGAGAGAACTTGGGAAGGTTGAACACCAGACGGGCTGCGGCATTCTGGATGAGTTGTAGGGGTTTAATGGCACAGGCAGGGAGCCCAGCCAACAGCGAGTTGCAGTAATCCAGACGGGAGATGACAAGTGCCTGGATTAGGACCTGTGCCGCTTCCTGTGTAAGGCAGGGTCGTACTCTCCGAATGTTGTAGAGCATGAACCTACAGGATCGGGTCACCGCCTTGATGTTAGTGGAGAACGACAGGGTGTTGTCCAGGGTCACGCCAAGGCTCTTTGCACTCTGGGAGGAGGACACAACGGAGTTGTCAACCGTGATGGTGAGATCATGGAACGGGCAGTCCTTCCCCGGGAGGAAGAGCAGCTCCGTCTTGCCAAGGTTCAGCTTGAGGTGGTGATCCGTAATCCACACTGATATGTCTGCCAGACATGCAGAGATGCGATTCGCCACCTGGTTATCAGAAGGGGGAAAGGAGAAGATTAGTTGTGTGTCGTCTGTGTAGCAATGATAGGAGAGGCCATGTGAGGATATGACAGAGCCAAATGACTTGGTGTATAGCGAGAATAGGAGAGGGCCTAGAACTGAGCCCTGGGGGACACCAGTGGGGAGAGCACGTGGTGCGGAGACAGATTCTCGCCACGGCACTTGGTAGGAGCGACCTGTCAGGTAGGACACAATCCAAGAGTGAGCTGCGCCAGAGATGCCCAACTCGGAGAGGGTGGAGAGGAGGATCTGATGGTTCACAGTATCAAAGGCAGCAGACAGGTCTAGAAGGACAAGAGCAGAGGAGAGAGAGTTAGCTTTAGCAGTGGGGAGAGCCTCCGTGACACAGAGAAGAGCAGTCTCAGTTGAATGACCAGTCTTGAAACCTGACTGGTTTGGATCAAGAAGGTCATTCTGAGAGAGATAGCAAGAGAGTTGGCTAAAGACGGCACGCTCAATCAATCAATTTTATTTTATATAGCCCTTCTTACATCAGCTAATATCTCGAAGTGCTGTACAGAAACCCAGCCTAAAACCCCAAACAGCTAGTAATGCAGGTGTAGAAGCACGGTGGCTAGGAAAAACTCCCTAGAAAGGCGAAAACCTAGGAAGAAACCTAGAGAGGAACCAGGCTATGAGGGGTGGCCAGTCCTCTTCTGGCTGTGCCGGGTGGAGATTATAACAGAACCATGCCAAGATGTTCAAAAATGTTCATAAGTGACAAGCATGGTCAAATAATAATCAGGAATAAATCTCAGTTGGCTTTTCATAGCCGATCATTAAGAGTTGAAAACAGCAGGTCTGGGACAGGTAGGGGTTTCGTAGCCGCAGGCAGAACAGTTGAAACTGGAATAGCAGCAAGGCCAGGCGGACTGGGGACAGCACGCTCAAGAGTTTTGGAGAGAAAAGAAAGAAGGGATACTGGTCTGTAGTTGTTGACATCGGAGGGATCGAGTGTAGGTTTTTTGAGAAGGGGTGCAACTCTCGCTCTCTTGAAGACGGAAGGGACATAGCCAGCGGTCAAGGATGAGTTGAGGAGCGAGGTGAGGTAAGGGAGAAGGTCTCCGGAAATGGTCTGGAGAAGAGAGGAGGGGATAGGGTCAAGCGGGCAGGTTGTTGGGCGGCCGGCCATCACAAGTCGCAAGATTTCATCTGGAGAGAGAGGGGAGAAAGAAGTCAAAGCATAGGGTAGGGCAGTGTGAGCAGGACCAGCAGTGTCATTTGACTTAACAAACGAGGATCGAATGTCGTCAACCTTCTTTTCAAAATGGCTCTGGCACCCCAATGGTGGAACAAGCTCCCTCACGACGCCAGGACAGCGGAGTCACTCACCACCTTCCGGAGACATTTGAAACCCCACCTCTTTAAGGAACACCTGGGATAGGAAAAACAGACACTTTTCTGCCTTGGCATAAAGGTCATTTTCCAACAGTCGGGCCAGCACTGGATGGATCATTCATCAAACCAGGTATTCATAATGCCCCGTGGTTGTGCTGAATGCTGTCTTCCACTCATCCCCCTCTTGGACACGCACCATGTTGTACGCACTCCGGAGATCTAATTTGGTGAAGAAGCACGCCCCATGCATTGACTCGATCACTGAAGGAATGAGGGGGAGAGGATAACTAAATCGTATCGTCTCCTTGTTCAGTGATCGATAATCAATGCAAATGGGCAGACCGCCGTCTTGATTCTTCACAAAAAAAAACTTGAGGAGGCGGGAGAAGTGGAGGGTCGTATAAACCCCTGGCGCAGGGACTCGGTGACGTTTGTTTCCACAGCCTCCGTTTCTGCCTGTGACAGGGGATACACATGACTCCTGGGAGGCACAGCGTCTATCCCCCGCCCGATGAGGTGGTAACTTGGTCGCCTGCGTTTTGGAAAACACGTGCGCCAAATTGAGGTATTCGGTGGGAATGCGCACGGTGGAGCTACTGTCTGGACTTTCCATCCATGGTGATTGGTGCGGTAACATCCCTAACAAACCCGGACCCTAATGGTCGACTGTCAAGTGCTCTGATGGGGAGTGGAATGGATAGGGGAACCAATTAATTGCCTAGCCTGTGTGAGAATGCTCTGTTCATAAAGTTCCCAGCTGCGCCTGAATCGACTAGCGCCTTACACTGGGGAACTACAGTGTGATCAGGAAAGTAGATGGGTAGGGTACAGTGCGCAGCAGAGGGCTCTGAACAAGTGTAGGTGTTCGATACCTGGGGTGATGCGAGAGTGCCCTGCCTGCCGCCTTCAGACCCAAAAGAACGCTGACGACATCATGCGGTGTAATGTCCCTCCGTGCCACCAGAGTTACACTGCCGCTGTCGTCCTCCGCTCTCTCGGATCGCGGCTCCACCCAGCTCCATCAGATTGTGATCCGAGTCGGCTGGGGTTGGAACAGGCAGACCTCCTCCAGGACATCCTCTGGCCGCCAGCAGGTTGTCCAAACTGATGGCCATGTCCACCAGTTGCGTGAAGGACAACATGGTTTCCCGGCAGGCTAGCTCCCTTCGGACGTCCTCCCGCAGATGGCACCAGAAGTGGTCAATAAAGTTTTCTCTCTCATCGTGGAGAAAAGACGTTTAGGGACCAGGGAGAAAATGCAATAACTGGAAAAAAACTTGTAATATTTTCTGTTTAAAATTTGAAGATTAAATGTTTGACTGGTTGTAAGGAAATAGAAAGCTGTGAAAACGACCCAACATGTTCAAAACTTTCTCAATAACTTTCTCAAACCCATAGTTACACTATAAAGCCAATTGAATAAAATATAAAATGCCCTGCTGTATCATTGGGCATCAGGCCTTTTCTGGATGGCTACAGTGCATTCACAAGGAGAATCACTATTGAACAAGTAGGGGTGAAATTCTCCTTCAACACATTTTGTTTGAACCCATCATCACTTCCCACAGGTCTGCTGACAGAGATCCAGTGTAAGTCTAAAAGGCTGAGGAAAAACACCAAGGCCTCACCAGGAGAGTCCACTGGGGACGAGACAGAGGGGGGAGACAGCAAGCAGGTCACCTCCACCACCAAACTGTCAAAGGTAAAAGCTCCCCTTTTTGCTCTTTAGAATGGTTTTTGCTCTTCAAAATGTGAAACGTCAGTGATTCCAAATGGAGGAATCTAAGTACAGAAAATTATTTACTAGAAAATGATTTACTAGAAAATGGTGTTAGATGTTTATAGACTAAGACAAACTAACTATTTATTGAATGACCTTCCTTTGTTAAAAAAATATGATGGTCTATATTCCCAAGAACTCCAAGGTAACCTGCCTAAATGACTATCTCCCTGTAGCACTCACATCTGTAATTTGTAAGTGCTTTGAAGGGCATGACACACATCAACCCCATCACCCCAGACACCCTGGACCCACTCCAATTCACATACCGCCCCAAAAGATTCACAGATTATGCAATCTCAATTGCACTGCACACTGCCCTCTCCCACCTGGAGAAGAGGGGAAATAACTATGTGAGAATGCTGTTCATAGACTACAGCGCAGCGATCAAAACCAAAGTCCCCTCCAAGCTCATCACCAAGCTCGAGACCCTGGGACTGAACACATCCCTCTGTAACTGGATCCTGGACATCCTGACGGGCCGGCCCCAGGTGGTGAGGGTAGGCAACAACACCTCTGCCACGCTAACCCTCAACACGGGGGTGCGTGCTTAGTCCCCTCCTGTACTCCCTGTTCACCCACAACTGTGTGGCCACTCACGACTCCAACACCTTCATCAAGTTTGCTGACGAAGCTACAGTGGTAGGCCTGATCACCGACATCAATGAGAAAGCCTACAGAGAGAAAGTCAGAGACTTGGCAGTGTGGTGCCAGGACAAGACCCTCACCCTCAGCGTCAGAAAGAGGGGAGAGCACGCCCCCATCCACATCGACAGGGCTGTAGTGGAGCGGGTCAAGAGCTTCAAGTTCGTTGCCGTCCACATCACTAAGGACTTAACATTGTCCACATGCACCAGTACAGTCTTGAAGAGAGTACGACAGTGCCTCTTCCCCCTCAGGAGGCTGAAAAGATTTGGCATGGGCCCTCTGATCCTCAAAAAGTTATACAGCTGCACCATCGAGAGCATCTTGACTGGCTGCATCACCTCTTGGTATGGCAAATGCACTGCCCTTGACCTCAAAGCGGTACAGAAGGTGTTGCGGATGGCCCAGTACATAACTGGGGCCGAGCTCCCTGCCATCCAGGACCTCTATATCAGGCGGTGTCAGAGGAAGGCCCCAAAAATTGCAAGACTTCAGCAACCCCAGCCATAGACTGTTCACTCTGCTACCGTCCGGCAAACGGTACCGGAGCATTGACTCTCCGACCAACAGGCTCTGAGACCGCTTCTACCCCCAAGCCATAAGACTGTTTAATAGCCGTAAGACAGCTAAATAGTTATTTAAATGGTTACACAGACTATCTGCATTGACACAGTGTCTGGGTTCATCAGGAAGTGTATAGCGGATGTTGTGATTATTAAAACCTACCCAAACCAAAAACCGTGGATAGATGGCAGCTTTCGCACATAACAAGGACTGTGGGCTCTCGTTCTCTGTGGCCGACGTGAGTCAGACATTTAAGTGTGTTAACCCTCGCAAGGCTGCCGGCCCAGACGGCATCCCTGGCCGCATCCTCAGAGCATGCTCAGACCAGCTGGCTGGAGTGTTCACGGACATATTCAATCTCTCCCTATCCCAGTCTGCTGTCCCCACTTGCTTGAAGATGTCCACCATTGTTCCTGTACCCAAGAAAGCAAAGGTAACTGAACTAAATTAATATCACCCTATAACATTCACTTCTGTCAACATGAAGTGCTTGAGAGGCCAGTTAAGGATCATATCACCTCCACTTTACCTGACACCCTAGACCCACTTCAACTTGCATACCGCCCCAATATATCCACAGACGATGCAATCGCCATCGCACTGCACACTGCACTATCCCATCTGGACAAGAGGAATACCTATGTAAAAATGCTGTTTATTGACTATAGCGCAGCCTTCATCACCATAGTACCCTCCAAGCTCATCATTAAGCTCGGGGCCCTGGGTCTGAACCCCGCCCTGTGCAACTGGGTCCTGGACTTCCTGATGGGCCACCGCCCCCAGGTGGTGAAGGTAGGAAACAACACCTCCACTACGCTGATCTTCCATGATTGCGTGGCCACGCACGCCTCCAACTCAATCATCAAGTTTGCAGACGACACAACAGTAGTAGGCCTGATTACCAACAATGACGAGACAGCCTACAGGGAGGAGGTGAGGGCCCTGGCGGAGTGGTGCCAGGAAAATAGCCTCTCCCTCAACATCAACAAAACGAAGGAGCTGATCGTGGACTTCAGGAGACAGCAGAGGGAGCACGCCCTTATCCACATCGACAGGACCGCAGTGGAGAAGGTGAAAAGCTTAAAGTTCCTCTGCATACACATCACTGAAAATCTAAAATGGTCCACCCACAGACAGTGTGGTGAAGAAGAGGCAACAGCGCCTCTTCAATCAGGAGGCTGAAGCACTTCGGCTTGGCCCCTAAGACCCTCACAAACTTTTACAGATGCCCAATTGAGAGCATCCTGTTGGGCTGTATCCTCACCTGGTACGGCAACTGCACCGCCCGCAACCGCAGGGCTCTCCAGGAACATAAGCATTTCGCTACACCCGCAATAATATCTGCTAAATATGTGTATGTGACCAATAACATTTGATTTGATTTGACCATATCTTGCACATTCACAAGACTATGTAAATGCACTTTATACACACTCACTCACTCACACACTACACTGACACTCTCACATAAAACCCACACACATTCACACACAATTTTACACTGCTACTCTGTTCTTTATTTTACTCGTATTATTATTTATTCTGATGCCTAGTCACTTTACCCTGCCTTCATTTACATATCTACCTCAAATACCTCTTACTCCTGCACATTGATCTGGTACTGGTACTTCCTGTATATACTGTAGCTTAATTCTTGTGTATTTTATTCCTCTTGTGTTACTATTTTTTATTATTATTTTGTAACTCTGAATCGTTGGGATGGGCTCGAAATCAAGCATTTCACTGTAAAGTCTACACCCGTTGTATTCGGCGCATGTGACAAATACAATTTGATTTGTTTTGAAATGTCCTACACTGATTACTGGATATGGGAATAGCATGATAATGACAGCCCAGTGTTAAAATTAACTATGAATATTTCAACATTTCTAAAGCCATGTTGCCACCAACAGATTGTATTACTCACAGCTAAGACTGCCTCTTTAAAGTAATGACTCATAAATAGCCCTAGTGTTAAACAGAAGAGATTCAAAACTGATTGCTAATGGTTTTCTTTCAGGAGAAAGTTGAGCTCAGTCAAGAGCAGCAGGCTCTTTTGAGCTTCATCGTAGAAGCTTACCAGAAACATCGAATCCCTCAAGACATGGCCAAAAAACTGGTATGTGATATCTCCTACAATTCTATCAAATTATGTGTCTTTCAGCAAGCCATCGTGTATGCTTTTACAACTCAGACTTATTCATAGTTCATAGAAGACACAATAAGAGACCCTTGTAACATATCCCAGAGTAGATGATTTCCAAGTAAGACTCCAGCAATGACTTAAACCACATGCTCTCTATCCCAGTAGAAGTCAGACTGTTCTCTCCCTCATGTCTTAGATGAAGTTGCATAACTCTCCTTATCAGCCAGCAGTGTCATAAAACTTCACACACATTCTGTAATTCTCTTTTGTGTGCCCTTGTTGTTTCTCCAGCTACAGGAGCAGTTCAATGCAGACGAGAACTTCCTCCTTTTGACAGAGATGGCCACCAGTCATGTTCAAGTGCTGGTGGAGTTTACCAAGAACATTCCAGGTCTGGACTTCTATGACAATGGTCATTCCAACCTTTTCTCTTTAAGGAAGTAGAATATAGGATACTCCTATTAATTATCAGTCAACCTCTGGCCTTTTGTGCCTCGGTACTCCATAATAATAGCCTAATCGGCTCCTTGGCACCATCATAGCAACATGATAACAACAATTAACTTGTATGACTTAATATCATAGGTCAGAGCGGGTATTGACCCAAGACTGTGTTAGTCCACTGAGCAAAGGTCTAGGCATTAACTCAGGAAGCTAACACTAGTCTTCAGGTCTCCGGCAAGGTTACTCATCACACAAGCATAGTTCACCAAACCACCTCTGTTACACTGCATTGAAATGGAAAGATAAGTCTACTGAGTGAGTTTATTTAGCATAGTTTTATTTACTAGCAGGATTTTTTTATGTTTCATTATTTTTTATTTCTCACAAACCATAAGGGAGGTCCATTCTCCCCTTCCTCCCTGCAATAGCCTCTCCTGACTGTGCGTGCGTGCTTACATGCTTGTGTGCATGCGTGTGTATGGCCCTGACAGGTTTCTCAGCCCTGGACCATGAGGATCAGATAGCTTTGTTAAAGGGCTCGGCAGTGGAGGCCATGTTCCTGCGCTCAGCACAGGTGTTTACCAGGAAGCTACCCCATGGACACACAGAGGTGCTGGAGGACAGGATACGCAAGAGTGGTACGTTCATACTGGGAATCTGGAGCATGTAAGGGAAAATACTATGACAATACTCCAATACACATCCACATGTCTACTACTGTTGCTAGAACTAAATTGTGGTTATCATCACTATGTACAAATACACTATGTACATGTACAAATCCTCTCTGATTCATCACCTTGGGAGGCCTCCGGCCCTCTCATCCACCACACACACACACAAACACACACACACACCACTCCCATGGCCATACTGTACTATAGATTAGATCTGTCTGCAGGCAGCCAGGCAGGTCTGATGTGAATAATGGATGGGCCTGCTCTATCTGACGATCTATTTGACGAGGATGCTGGCAGACTAGCAGTGTACTGACCTGTTGATCCCTGGCCAGGTGTGGGTTACCCATGTAAATGGACCACTGCCCGCCGGATACGTTTTCATTCCATTGTGAGCGTGTATGGGCATTGTGCCAGGCAGTGTAGTAGGGTAAAAGAGGGATGCCTTCTGATGCTAGACTGGATCAGTTAGAGCTATGCCCATGATTTATCGTCCATAAACTCTGATAGTGTTGGCTGTCGGATGGCAGTGTGGTGTGAGGAGGCATGAATAATGCACTAAACATCCAATTAATTGTACTGGTCATAACACGTTAAACGAGAGGATCTGACTTTGATATTCTGATATTTGCTTTATGCCATTTCATGGATTTGTGTGTATAGTACAAAACACAACACCTCACCCCAGCGGGCAAAGATGTCTGAAATGATTTCAACCAGCTTTACTATGGGGTGATGTGTTGTGTTCTAGATAGCACAAAAAGGTGCTATCTAGAACCTAAAGGGGTTCTTCGGCTGTCCCCATAGGATAACCCTTTGAAGAACCCTTTTTGGTTCCAAGTAGAATCTTTTTGGGTTCCAAGTAGAACCCTTTCCACAGAGGGTTCTACTAAATAAACCAAATAGGGTTCTCCTATGGGGACACCCGAAGAACACTTTTGGAACCCTTTTTTCTAAGAGAAGGCCATATTTGTAGAAAGTCAATAGATTTTTCTCTGAGAAATTAGCATCTTCATACTCCTCCCTGACTAAACTTATCTTTATTTATGAAACTCACTTTCATATATTTAATTTTAAAGAGTGCAGCAGTCTGGCTATCTTGATTTTCAAAGTCTACCATATTGCTGTCATATGCATATTGTTGTTTTATTCCTTTTCCTCATTTTCTCATTTAACTGTAAGATGTAAATATTGTGTTTTTTATTGTTCCTGGAGGCTGTTGCTATAGTGATAACCAAAAGATACCTGTGTTGTCCAGTGTGTTTGCGTGTGTGCGTGTGCGTGTGCGATTTACACAGTAGGCCAACATGCAGCTGTCATTTTGACATCCCATTTTGACATCCCTGGTTGGACTGTTGAATGCAGAGTGGTAGAGATGGCCGCTATAAGTGCGTTACTCCGTCCCTTGGCACCTCTCCAGAGTGAATGGATTGGTTGAGAGATATTCAAGCTAAAGGCCTGTCCGAGGGAAAAGAGAGATATGATGTCTAAAGAGGCTATTGTTCTTTATCTAAACATCGAGAGCCCTATTGTCCCCCTCTCTCCCGCTTTGTGCGCTCCTGGCATTTCTGAAGGCTTACGGCTCTGTGATGTGTCTGGCTGGAGGGGGTGAATTGTTTTGATGGTTTTGGTGGTAGTAGTGGTGGAGGTGGGGGTAGTCCTGCTCTCCGGATTTTTTAAACAGAAATCTGTAAAAGTCCAATGGTATCCTCCAATAGTATGTTACCTCTAATCTTTTAACATATATTTTGGTTCATTATAGTGGGACTGTATGGGAATTATACTAGGTATCTGTATATTATTTACGCTTACACCTTTGTACCTCTCAATGTTTGAACCCATTCCCCTCAGTGATATATGGATAATACTGCCATCTACTGGTTATGTATTGAACACGCACCTCCACATGTTTTCCAGGAATATCAGAGGAGTTCATTACACCCATGTTCAACTTCTACAAAAGCATCGGGGAACTCCAGATGATGCAGGAAGAACACGCCCTTCTCACCGCCATTACCATCCTGTCACCAGGTGAGCTGCCTGCTGGGCATGTGGCACAAGTAAAAATGTAATGGTCAAATCAACTGAAATAAACTCAATTATTTGGTTTGACATTACTTGAAGTTGATGTGCCGCATGCCCATATCAAACCTTTTTAGCTCGCTGTGGCTAAAGTTAGTTGAAGTTTGTAAACCGAACTAAGGAATACAGTTTCTCCTCGCCTATAGACTACTTTCAGGGTGAAAAACCATTTATAATTCGTTTGTAAAATACTGAACTTCCCCTTTAATTTATTCTCTTCTACAGACAGGCCGTACCTGAAGGACCAGCAGGCAGTGGAGAGGCTGCAGGAGCCCATGTTGGAGGTGCTCAGGAGGTTCTGTGCAATGCGGCACCCGCTGGAGCCCCAGCACTTTGCCCATCTCCTGGGCCGGCTGACCGAACTGCGGACCCTCAATCACCACCATGCCGAGATGCTTACCTCTTGGCGCATGAGCGACCACAAGTTCACCCCCCTCCTCTGTGAGATCTGGGACGTACAGTGAATGGTACATAGAGGCTGCATGGATGGATGGATGGATGGATGGATGGATGGATGGATGGATGGATGGATGGATGGATGGATGGATGGATGGATGGATGGGGGAGAGGAGAGGAATAACAAACATTTCAAGCTGAGTGACTCCTCAGACCATTTCAGAAACTGCAACCATTTCGAAAGCTGAACATCGGACCATTTCAGAAGTTCTGACTGCGATGCAATAAGACATAACACCACTTTGAGATGTTGTGAATTCATATTGTGTAGGCTTTGCTCAGGTGTTCTGTGAGCCTTTGTGATGGGCTACTTGAATGTGACCGCCCGTTGCAGACCAAAGAAACTTGGAGACGTTATTTTAAAGAAAAGATCTCCCAACGGGATAATGGACTTATATTGTCAAGTTTGCCAGATTTTGGAGAAAGTAATCTGATAACAACCCTAGTATTGACAATTAGTGTTTTAATCACTCATTAAACATATTTTGACTAATACACTTTGTTTACTTGTAGTCATGATATTGTTCGGACCACAGCCACAGGAGTTCGGACTGGATCAGTTTGACATGCGATCTCTCTTGTGGTTTACAAATGTACTGAACAAAAATATAAACACAACATGTAAAGTGTTGGTCCCATGTTTCATGAGCTAAAATAAAAGATCCCTGAAATGTTCCATATGCACAAAAAGCGTATTTCTTGTTAGTAAGCATTTCTCCTTTGCCAAGATAACCTTGTGCTCGGACAATAAAAGGCCACTCTAAAATGTGCAGTTTTGTCACACAACACAATGCCACAGATGTCTCAAGTTTTGAGGGAGCGTGCAATTGGCCTGCTGACTGCAGGAATGTCCACCAGAGCTGTTGCCAGATGGTTGAATGTTAATTTCTTTACCATAAGCTGCCTCCAGACCACGTGTAACCATGCCAGCCCAGAACCTCCACATCTCGCTTCTTCACCTGTGGGATCGTCTGAGAGCAGCCACCCGGACAGCTGATGAAACTGTGGGTTTGCACAACCAAATAATTTTTACACAATCTGTCAGAAACAGTCTCAGGGAAGCTCATCTGCGTGCTCGTCGTCCTCACCAGATGGCAGACTGTCACGATCGTTGATGAACGAGAAGGACCAAAACGCAGCGTGAAATGCATCCATGTTTATTGAACTGAATAAACATACAAAAACAACAAACGTGACGTCGGAAGGCTAACACTAACAAGCCACACTAACCGAACACAAACAAAAACCCACAATACAGGCAGGAAAACTGGCTGCCTAAGTATGATCCCCAATCAGAGACAACGAGCGACAGCTGCCTCTGATTGGGAACCACACCCGGCCAAACATAGAAATACAAACATAGATATTCACACCCTGACCAAACTAGCTAGAGTTATATAGGCCAGGGCGTGACAGTACCCCCCCCCCCCCCCCCCCCCCCCCCCCCCCCCCCCCCCCCCCCAAAGGTGCGGACTCTGGCCGCACAAACTTGACTGAATAGGGGAGGGTCCGGGTGGGCCTCCAGCCTCGGTGGCGGCTCCGGAGTGGAGCCGCTGACCGGAGCTGGATCAGGCACCGGTGGAGCGGACTGCTCTGGCTCCGGAATGGAGCCGCTGACCGGTGCCGAACCAGGCACTGGTGGAACGGGCACGGGCCGTGCCGGACTGGCGACGCGCCCCACTGGCTTGGTGCGACGAGCAGGAACAGGCCGGGCCGGACTGGCGAAGCGCACCACTGGCTTGGTACGAGGAGCAGGAACAGGCCGGGCCGGACTGGCGACGCGCACCACTGGCTTGGTGCGAGGAGCAGGAACAGGCCGGGCCGGACTGGCGACACCTACCACTAGCTTGGTACGAGGAGCAGGAACAGACCGGGCCGGACTGGCGACGCGCACCCCTGGCTTGGTGCGAGGAGCAGGAACAGGCCGGGCTGGACTGGCGACGGGCACCACTGGCTTGGTGCGGGGAGCAGGAACAGGCCGGGCCAGACTGGGAACATGCACCACTGGCTTGGTGCGGGGAGCAGGAACAGGCCGGGCCAGACTGGGAACACGCACCACTGGCTTGGTGCGGGGAGCAGGAACAGGCCGGGCCAGACTGGGAACAAGAACCACTGGCTTGGTGCGGAGAGCAGGTACGGGGCGTACCGGACTGGGAACCGGCGCTGGAGGTCTATGACTGTCTCCGTCCTTTACACTCCGCGCCCCGTCCTCCTCCAGTGAGGACTCCTCTTTGAGCCCCCACGAGTGCAGTGGTCGGGGCTCCTCTCTGTCGCTCCCCGACCACCCTTTTAGCCCCCCCCAAAAAAATAATATTGGGGCTGTCTCTCCTTCTCCACCCTGATCCCTTTCAGGGCCTCCATCTTCCTTGCCAGATCCTCTCTCATCTCTCGCCAGGTCCATCCTCTCTGCTCCTCCTGGGCACGCTGCTTGGTCCATTGGTGGTGGGTTTTTCTG